ATTCTATGATTCTATGATTCTAACTCTTCCTTTTGTAACTGAGTGTTATCTGGGCTGAACTGTGTTGAGTCCTGGAAGCTGGCCTGATCATTATTGTTGAAATACTGCTAACTGATTGATTGAAAACCAAGGAGGGGGTGAGGTTGTTCTGCTGTTTTACTGTGAATGCATACACATTCCTGTTTCTGTAACCCTTACCCAAATTAAGTAAAGAAGAATTTTGCCATTCACTTCAGAACAGTCCTTTGTTCAAGCCAATGTGCCTTCATAATTGAAGCTGTGTGTCTGAGTTGTATTACAATTTTTTTTTATACTAAGGGATCCCTCATGCACCTGCTGTTTGGGGTTTGGCTCTTAAACTGTGTTTTGGCAGAGCATAATGTCAATAGCAAGTAAAAAGATGATGTCATTATGATAGGATTATTGACTTGGAAGTTAACCGAAGACATTGCTTTCATAGACAACACAAAGTGATATCCAAGCCAAAAATTCCTTGTCCCTTATCATTAAAAAAAAAGTGTTCTCGGACCAGTGAGACCAGCTGTTCCTATGCATCCAGCTGCTCCCCACCTTGACTTGCATATTTTATATATCCCAGAAGGCATTTAAAATCTGCAGCATCACTGCTCAGTTTATTGCACTATTAACTTAAAAACTGCATCAACTGTTGTGTGGTAGTTAAGTAGAAAATTTACTGTGGATGGGTTATTGTTGCTAGAAAAGAGAGTACTGCTCTCCTTTGCTAATATTCTATGATATAAATGTAATTTAATTCATTTTTGGTAAGCAAAATACTAATAATTTTTTTCCACTCATAAGATATTTGCATGGCTTCCATCTGCAATGGGCCTTTCCAATGCAACTGCAAAATGAAGGAATTAACATTGAACATACAATCTTTCCCGCATAACTGGGCACTTAGGCAGAGTCATACAAATGAAAGTTACTGGGTTAAGAATGAGAAAAGAACGTTATAGCTGTAGGGGCACATACTTGCAACTATTTCAGCTGGTATATACCTAGTAGCAAGTTTAACACACTTCGTTGACATATGTTAGTGTAATAGTTTTGCCTTACTGTACTTTTTATTACTTTATTACTGCATTAAAGAACATCTACTAATATATTCCTGCAAAATTTCATTCACAATGTGAGCTAAATTAGGACTTTCAAGGCACAGACTTTGAAAAAGAGAAAGGAGAAGGGATATTCCTCTGAGAAGTATTTTTAGTGAACAGCCTCTTACTTGTGGGATGCATGTGTGAACTTTCTTAAATGTCTGGTCAGCCATGCTAGATAAAGCAGAAGAAAGATACACGGAAATATGCCTTACCCCATCTTATTTCTCTTTAGACATTTGAAATCTGTGTGGATGACAACAGGGAATGAGAATCCTGGCTTTCTGCAGAAATTGGGTCTGAAAATGCACGTAGCCAAGGAAACATGAAATGATCAGCTTTGAGCCCCTAAGTAACGAAGTTTTGATCTAAAATATTCTGTGGTGGTAAGTCTCACACACTCATCAATGAGTGTAGCACTACCATATTCCCAATGCAAATAGGCTCAAGCAAGATTTAAAAAAAGGATGGATTTTTTTCTGAGATGTTCCAAAACAATGTTGATTTATCCAAGCACAGTAGATGTTATTTCACCTACAACATCAGGAAAAAGGTACAAGGAACAGCAAAGCACATGTAAAAGGATCATACAGCAGCAACAGCAGATGTAGCAATATTCTTGATGAAGTAATAACTTTGGGTTTTTTTTCCTAGGAGACTTCTTTCCCTTTCCATACTCTTTCAGCAGTGCTCATGGGATAATTATAGTTTAAACTTTGTCCTCTGCAGGTACAATATCTGACTTTCAAAGACTCACACTAATTCGTGTTGTGAAGCAAAGGGCAAGACTTAATCCTGCAGTGCCACCCTGATTAATGACGTGATTGGCATTTCTTCTTGTACTCAAGGGGAGTGGTAGGCTTTGAATTGGACATTGAATTCTCATAAAGTGTTGTATTTATTTTATATTTGCAAGAGTGATCACAGACTTGGCTAGCTGCCCTGAGGAAACAGGCCTCTGGCCCAAAACCCAAGTGGTTGTACTTTAAACCCGAGATGGTAGAGTTTCACAGAAATAAATAGCTGTATTGCATAACACTGGAAAGGTATTTTCAGGGATTTTTTTTTCTTTTGTGAATAGATATGGCATGACTTCAAAGCTCACTATTAGGGTTTCTACAGTCCCAATCGGAATGTACTTCAGCATCTTTCTTTCATTCTCTCTTCACTTTCTTCTGTTGGCTTTTGTTGTTGTTTAGCACTTCTTTAGAAATAGTCTAGCAAATATAAATACAGTAATGAATGTGTGGAGAGTGAATGTTGCTCTTGTTAAACTGAAAAATCATACTCAGAATCCTAGTTTTAAGTATTGTAGCTCTTGAACTTAGGGCATCTATGGCAGGTAAATATTACCATTATTATTAGTGTGGATGTGATTTATTGTCCATCACCATCATAGCTACCACACAGCTAGCTGTGCAACCTCCAGGATAAGGTATTGTACAACCATGCCATCCCTGCACAAGGCGTACACATTCGGTATGACATACTGTCTGTGGGCCCCTTTGAACTTAGGGTCTAGGGCATGAGTCATGTGAGCTTCTGCATCGGGATGTCCCCCTGGTCACTTCACCTTCTGACCCTACAGAGAACGTGCCATGAGGTCCTAGCACTAAGACAGTAATAGTGACCCAATGGTTCATGCTCTACGTCTCTTTCTACAGACAGGGGGCAGGGGGGAACCTGTGCATGTGTCCTGCTTAGTGACAGACAAGATACTGGTATCAAGTAGCATTATACATCTAACAGTATTCTCAGTACCAACATCAGGTGTCAATATTGCTCTGGCATTCACAATTCAACACTTATGCCCTATGCTGCCCTGTATGACCTGCTGCAGGGGAACTTGATCCAACCCTGCCTTCTTGTAGTCCTCTGGCTCCCGGTCACACACTGTGGCAGTATTTTTCCTTTCCCAGCAAACAGTTGGTGAATGTGGTGGGCGTCGTCTGGGACTGTAGGGAGGCACTAGTGAAGGTGGGACTATACTAAGGTGGGAAGCCTTTCGTCTGGGCCAAAATCTCTTAGGTCCAGATGGCTCCTGCAGAGATTAGCAGGGGGCAATTTCCATTAGCAAGGAAATGGGATAATAATAAGCGTAGAAAAAATGCTGCCCCACCTTACACAACCCCCCCTGTATTTCTCCTTTCTAAAACTTTAATAGGAGCACGATGGTACTATAATCTTGTTATTTTTGGCATCTGCCTCATGTAAGATTTGACACTATTGCCACCAGAAACTTTCCCTCCTTGTTGTATATTCTGGGCCAGCAATGGACCATGCAGGCACAACCCCTAGCAAACCTTTCAATCAATCCACTAGGCTACAGCTAAATTCTTAGTAACATTTAACTGGAATCTAAACTGGAGTTGAATTGTAAATTCTGGTCTTCCAAACTAAAAACTGATGAACAAAAGAGAAAGGAAAGGTGCAATTCAGAAAATATTTTATTGAGTACAATACCATTTCATTGTAGGCTTTTGTCAAATGTCTACTCTATAAAACACCACCAACCTCTCTGAGGTTGAATACAGCTTGGGCAGGTGCACAAGGAGCAGGAGAGAGAGGGGCAGCATCTGCAAATTTTCATGCAAACAGCATAATATGGGATATTTGCATCCAGACAGTACCTTGTCATAGTGCCCAAGTTTGCACCATCTCACCAGAAAAAAATTAATGACTCTACATTTAAATTTTATGAAGGATTGTAACAATCAGTTACAAGTTCAAATTTACAGGGTGTTGCCACTGCACATTCAGCGGCTAAACTCAAGACCATAAAATGAAAATTAGGAGCTCAGAATGAAAGTACCATATATTGGTACTTGTGTGGAAACAGGATTAACTCTAACTCCAGAAACTGATGGCTAAGAAGACATCATAACTACTGTAGACAAGGAGAGCTGTAATTTTTACCAATGTACTAACATCTAACTTCCATTTTTAGCAGATGGAAGACTATAAAAGTTCCTGGAATTGGGGTTAATCTCACAATACACAAGCCTAATCAAGACTTGGCATCATGGTTCTCGGAAGGTAATTAAATCAACAGTAGTCCATGGGCAATTTTCAGTTGCATGAAGCACCTGCTCAACTCACAGAAAACAGTCTTAAATGGGTACAAGTGTGTTAATATTTATATGAATAAAGTTCCTGCTTATTGGAATGCAGACCAACTAATTTTTCTGGTGTAAGTGTTCATTTTCAGTGATGGCAAAGCATAAATGTGCTATAAAATGTAGGAAGAGTCACAAACAACCTTGAAAATGTCCCTATATTGCTTAAATTCTTCTCTCAACCCTTCTTCTTTATGAAGTATATATACATTCAGAGACTGCAGGAAGTTTTCAGGTTGACCATATTTCTGCAGCTAACTCTGGATTTTATGAGCTGGTCCCCACAGACTCTTTAAAAATCTGCCATGAAACTTGCACTGTACTGCCGAAGAATTTGAGGAGCACTTTTTAGAACAGTAAATACGAAGGTAAGTACAGCACTTAATATGTCATATTACACAGAGACTTCCATTGTCCTCTGGGTGTGCATGTCCCAACATGTATAAGTACCACCACTTTATCAGGAAATAATTTTATAAAGCAGGATGGAACAATTTGCTAACTACAACAATATTTTCAAATGAAAAATAGATTATTAAACCACATTTTAAAGCAAGAAAAATGGAAATGTGAAGTTTAGCATATTCATTAGCAATTAGAGGAGAAAGTCCAGGATAGTCCAGAAAGGCCAAATAATTCTGAAGGGTTCTATTGAAATGAATTTCTTATTTATTAAAAAGACAACGCATTCTCAAGAGAACATCTTCTGCAGTGAAATAATTTAGTTTCTTCATATAGACACATCATACACAATGTTAACAACCATGAAAAACAATACAAAATGCTTTCAAATTTAACAAGTAGAAAAATATAACTAGTATATATGGCAATTGTGAATCTAATACTGTACAGAAGTATTTATGGATTTTACAAATAAATTATAGCTTAAATGCCCTTTTTAAAATTTCTAAATGTACACTGGAACATAGGTTCTGAACCTTACCACTAACTCGCAACAAATGAGTGCCAGTCAAATGTTCTGCCCACCAGCTCAAAAAATTTCTTGTTGGGTTCATGGAAATATTCATGCAGTTTCTCGAGTAACCGGGTATCTACTTGTGGGTGTGCTCGTCCTTTTGATTCATGTAAACAACGCTCTCTACCGCTGTCCCTTAGGCAATAGAAGCCTTTAGTTTTATTGAAATAAAAGTTTGAAGCATTTATCTGTGGCGATAACTTCAAAAATCTCTCTACCTTCTCTATTTCTGGGAAGGGATCTTTGATTAGTTTATCCCCATCTACAATGTGGATACGATCAAGAGGAAAATACTTCAGCCAGTTTTGCATGTGAATGTAGTATAAGCTTCTGTTTATTGCCTTGTAGTTCACATTGAGTTCACCATCTTTAATCAGGAATTGTTCAATGGATGGATACAGCTTGTGCTTCTGCATGTGATTATAGAACACTTGGGTGTAATCTGATAGTACTCTCTCACTTGGGTCTCTTAAAATAAGGAGTAGTCTCATTGATTGGTTCATGTTATAAACTCTTTCAGGCACTTTAGGTGATGTGAAATATGCTGGAGTTTTTTCCACGGTGATCTGATGGGGATAAGAGAATGGCATTTGATTAATATACCACTGCAATCCATTTCTGTAATGATCTTCCCAGTCAAAGAAGTGAACTTCACTTTCTGCTGCTGCAATATCTGGATGGAGACTCAACATCTCCAACAAAGCTCTTGTTCCACCTTTTCTCACTCCAATAATGATAGTCTGTGGCAGCTGCTGGCATGATCCATTAGAATGAATGTTTTCCTTGAAGTCATTTTTTTGAGATGTTTTCTTTAAAAGCTCTCTCTGAACAGACTGAGAAGAAGTCTCAGCCTTTGAATTTATAGCCGGTCTGGAAGGCACTATCTGAGGTTGAACAATAAGCAACACAGCTCCCAGCAGAAAAGCTGCCATGACAGAGTTCTTAGCCTGGTTTCACTCAAGCAGGTAATGGGGCATAGAGTGATTTCCACTGAGAACAACCTTTAAAAGTTGTTTTTGTTTTGCTGAGCGAACGTGTATTTCTCAAACAGAAACTTTGCTGAAAGAGGGAAAAGGAAAAGAAAAGAAAACACGTTATTTTATACTCAGACATATCACTACTAAAGCCACACTGCAAGTATCTTTTGCTTTTCATGACAGAACAAACTTCTTTAGCCTTCCCAACTCTAGGCTCATAGATCATTTGGTATAACTAAATTCTTTTAAAGACAGGCACATACAATAATGCCACGAGAAAATGACTTCCAGTCATCAGGAGACATGAACATTCTGAATCTTTCTCTTGCATCCAAGATTCATCCAGAGTATTATTTTTTTATTATTTTTTCAATCCGATTTCATTGGAGTTGAACCACAATCCCAAGAGAATTAAGTGGGTTTTTTATCTGCAAGAATAGGTTTATCTTAGAAACAAAACATAAAAAGGAAAAGGTGTGGACTGGACTAAAAGAGCATTCCTAAAAGCTGAGGGTCTTGTAGGAAGTCTGGGAATTATAGCCTCCTAAAGGACAGTACCTTACAAGTAAAGCCTCCTAGGAAAAAGGCTCACGCAATACAGATAGAGCTGCCCAACCGTGGGAAGGTAACGTTCTCCTAGGAAGGAGTTAGGAAGAGCTGTGGGTGAGTAGTAGACCAAGGAAAAGTTCAATTTTTGTGTCTTTTTAAGTGACATTAACATTTGCTTTGTGGTTAGGGTTTCTAAGGATAGAGTCAGGTGGTATTTTTAAGTGACATTAAATTTTGCTTTGTGCTTAGGGTTTCTAAGGATAGAGTCAGGTGGTATGCACTCTGGTTCTGCAAAAAAGTAAGATAATGAAACCATAGACTATAGTATGACTGCATCAACAAAATGCTAAAAGAGCTGTGGTTCCAGTCATGATACTCAGGAAAGAAAATACACAATGAATGCTTCTGAAGGTCATTTCAAGAGTTAGCCAGCAAGCTGCTGTGATGTAAACAACTAACTCTACACTTTATCAAAAGACTACTAAATACCACCACTGAACTCCATTTAAAGGTCAGGGTGTTTTTAATGCAATGTTTGAAGTGAAATCTTAATGGCCTCACACATAGCATAGCTGTGAGATTGTCCTGTTATAAGCAGGCTGTGTATACAAACTCCCTAAATTAAGATGCCTTCCAAAGACTTTATAACCTCAGTGGAGGGCTGGTGTAAGTATGATTTTGGTATTGTCTAACTCCTAAAAGAAGTGGAAGCCACGATGACAGAGCACCTTACTGCTTTGCCTTAGTAGGCTAGTGTAATTATGAATTTAAGCTTGGAACGGCACGTACTGTACTGGCTAACAAGGGCTGAAATATGAAATTACTTACGAACCACCTGAGGAAATGCAAGGGCTAGGTTTTGGAAATTCTCCAGAGAATCTGAAAAGAAACTAATGACTTTTCCACAATAGGCTAAGTCCCAGTGTGACAAGGAATAATGATGTGTTTCTAAGTGATCTAGAAAGTTCTGTTTGATAGCTTTGCATTTACAGAGGTCGTGACTCCCATCCTGAATGGAGCAGGTCTGCTTCCTGATGTTTGCTACTGATTAGTACTTTTATGCTTTCCCTTTTTCTAATCACTTTTAAAGGGCTACAAGGCAGTGATATTGTTAGGAAGCAGAAATCAAGGCTGGGAGGAGAGGGAAGTGAAGTGTCACAACAGATGTGAAGTCAAAAGAGTGTGTACTTCCCTGTATGCCTGCAGGCTTTGAGCTCATGGGCATGCTCTGTCTTGGGCTGTTCGGTGATGTCTGATGTGAGGCAACTTTGCAGAGGAATTTGTTGTTCTTCCATTTTTGGTCACTGTTAAGTTTTATCTGGCTGAAAGAGCTCCATTTTGGCTGTCGTCATGAATCTTCTGCTCTCTTTCC